TCAAAGCACAACCATGAAAGTTAGATGCTAGTAAACCACAATAACTCAAAAGAATATGTAATTTTAAGCAAATACACAAATAAAGATTAAAAACAAGCATAGCACGCACCTCAAAGTACGATCCAAATGGGACGCCAAGGACCTGTTGTACAGCTTCGAACATCTGGAATAGGGAAATACTGAAATAAGTGAAAAACAAATTAAGTGTAGAATTGTATTATCAGAAACACACAACATTATTGAGTGTTCATGAAAAGATTATGATAAGAGAAATTACCAGGGTTTTTTAATGTCATGAGAGAACATGTTAAGTGACTGTTGAAATACATATTCATAACCTTCATATTCAGAATTCAATTTGACTTTTTCTATTCAAATTGAAAAGGAAAAATGGGGATCAGACGATTTCTTCAAAAGGGTAGGCTACGCCCAAACCCATGGTTACCTATGGTAATGGTTGTCTGAGACTGTAGGAATATACAAAAACAATTCTATAATATGCAGTTTGCTCCTCTAATTCACTATGACAGAAATTGATCGCCTTATTCTTGTGGATTTCATACATATGGATGATTATTGGAACTATAAATTCATATAATTTTTAAAATTATACTAATATTGACGTCAATGGCATAATAAAATACTTTTAAACACAATCATATTTTTTAAAAATTAATTTAAAGAAAAGTTGCCTACTAAAGAACATGATTGTTAAGCCCTAATAGCACGACATGATGCTGAATTCATAGTATGATAAAGCTTATTTAAATTCAGGATGAACAAAAAAATGGTATTCAAACATTTCACATACCTCGAAGGAGATGTGCTAAGTTAGTGCGTCAACCCAATGTGTATGAAAGTTATTTGCTTCCCTTATGAAAACCACAATAAAAAGCACATTTAAAAAAATAATAGATGAACAAAACCTATGCACAATAGTCAATACTTCCTCGTATGACACTAAAACCACATTGAAAACAAAGTTGAGATTAAGGTGATGAGGGAAATATTAAATTACACTCTCTAACCCCCTAACTCGGTTGGTTCCCATGACACTGGGAATCAAAGTCATGAAATGACCCAGGGGTGTTCTAGTTCCCCGTTCATAAAATTGACGATTCCTACCTCCTCTGACCCTGTAAACCGACCCCAGTAAACCCTCTCACCCTGCCCCGACCCGAACACACCCCCACCCCCTTCAATTGCACCCCAAGTTAATTTTGACTTTGAAGGGGGTGGGGGGGGGGTTTAATGGGGGCAGGATTAGGGGGTAGAAATTGTTAATTTTACGAATGGGGAACCGGCCCCTTATATGTAATCTAATAACTTAAGTGATAGAGATTGAGCCTAGAGCTCTTAAGCCAGCGTCACAGATAGCTCCTAAAGACTTAAAAAGCTGGGTTATTTTTAAAAAAAAATTATTAAATGATAAGAAAATAGGTTATGGTGCTGACCACATGAAGCTTGGTAAATTTTTTTATTCAATAAATAAGTTATTACTTCAAAGTTGGGAGCCTAAAATTTTGAGAAATGGTTGAATGTTCCGAGTATAAATTCCTCTAATTTTTAAACTTATACTCATACTGACTGCCAGGAGAGAATACAATAATTTTTAACACAATATCTTAAAAATCAATTTAAAGGAAAAATGACTACAAGAACACAGCAGCATGATTGCTAAACCCTAATTATATGTGAGTATGCTGGATTTACAGCATGGAAAAGCTTAATGAAATTCAGGAAAAGGCTATAAAAACGATATTCAAACATTTCACAGACCTGCAAGCAGATGTGCTATTTTAGTGCAATCTCAGCTTCACAGTATGCCAGTCTGGGACAAGGAGCTGCGGCAAGAAGGAAGACATCTGATATAATAACCACATCCATTGCAGATCGCAGCAATACTGAACGGGAGAAAAATGTATGACTTTGCATATTTGGGGGAGCTAGCGCAAATTTTGGAGAATCACCTGAAATCCATCCCGGCGGAGATAGGGTGAAATCTCTCCAATTCCAATACACACATACTAGTTTTTTACCACGTGCTTCGCACGGGCTTGGGTTATGTGCAAGTGTTGTTTGCAATTTTATAATTGTATATTCAGTGAATGAAATATGTATCGTGATTTTTTCTGAAAAATTTAATTTAAAAAGGAAAGATAGAAGAGTTAAGGACTCAACCATAGCCTTCAAAAAGAGAAGAAAAAGCGGCCTCGACTTAACCAAAGTTCCTAAAAAAGAAACCAAACTTCAAGCTTCCAGTAACTACATCACTAAATATCTCACTCGAATATAATGATTAAAGTGAAAACTGCCAACCAATAGCCAAACAAACCAAAAAACATCCTTAGCAATATTCAAACTTTTCAAACTCAAATCAAGTTCCAACCAAAGAAAGCCCCTCCAAAATTTGAGTACAGATTTTACCACCAAGTACACTTGTTTCTACAGCTTCAACTTCATCCAATGAAGAAACATAGAAAAAGATTTGTGTACAGCATTGAATTTTCATCCTCATGACCTGCCAAAATTTACACATTACCTAAGGCTTTTAAAAGGAAAGAGAAAAATAGAATCAAACTACAAAGTGCGGTAGACCAAGAAGATGCAAGAAGTAGACCTTGTTAACACAATACCCTACTTCCTTTTTATGTCACCTCCTTTAGACTCCAAGAAGAAAGCCGATTATAACTCATTTGTTTAAGAGAACCTGCACGTATACCTCAAGCTTATATTTAAAATACATATTAGAGACCAAATGTCCATTACACAATTACACACTATTTATCAAACCACATATATAGTCTGGCCATGAAACAATAATAGAAACAGAGATACTGTTACTGACTATCTTTTGGGGTTATCTCTTAAATAAATATTTAGATATATATCTTTTGGGGTTATCTCTTAAATAAATATTTACATATATCAAATATGCTCTCTCCATCCTGGTTTAATATGGACACTTTTCTTTTTGGAATGTTCCAAAAAAAATACACACTTGTTTACTTTCCTAAGAAGTAAAAAATGTGGTACACAATTCTTCTCTTTCTTCTAAGTAAATTTTAACCACTCACATTTTACTATTTATTATTTTCCTAAAACTCCATAAGGTCAAACCATCCAAGCTAAATCGAGACAGATAGAGTACTATATAACTATGTGCAGAAGATTAATTAAATATATAGGAATTCATGAAGATTGCATCATGTGAAAAATACTACTAAATCTTACCTTAGATGAATTATTTCATAATTGGAACTCATGGCCTAATTGGCATTGGGTAAGCTATT